AACTTACCGTATCTAACCCATACGACGCAGGGTCGAATTGCATTTCCGGCGTCGTCGCGAGATTCAACGATGGTGTAGAAACCGGCTACATCTGTTAGCAGATATCAATAAAAACACGAACTGTACACCTACTGTCGACGTAGCCTTGGCTCGGACCGTCTCCCAACTTGCTCCCTGCAACATCTGCTCGCTCATCTGCATACATTGCATTGCAGCCTGCTCCAATGCCTTCTGCGGATCTTCCCCTCGGAGTCGCGCCTTCACCGATGACAAAGCGAGCGTCGGAAAAAAGAAAGCCTTCCCTCCCTTGCCGTTTGGCGTGATTCGGCTTCCAAATGTTTCAATCGTTCGCTCGACTGCCCCAATCATGACCTCCTGCTGCGACCGTACCAAATCATTCAACGATGTCAACGCGCTGGACTGCATTGTCGATGTGTTCTGTGTGTTGAACTCGCCTGCCTGCAGGTACAGTTCAACGCATACTGTCAAAGCAGCGTGCAAGAATTCATCGCGGAACATTCCTCCGCTCAGTTGCCCCAGATGCGGGCTCACCTGCGAGCTCGTCGGGGGCTCGTGGTGAGAGAGGATCTCCAATGCGGACTCAAGGCAGACCTTCCGCGAGTAAGAGAATTTGGGCGACCGGATAATGCTCAACGCAAAAGGCCGATTCAGAACCAAAATCGACCGCCGCAACAGGAATACCAACATTGACTGCGCGAATGACGGGCCCGGTCCGGCCTTTCGGAAGATCTCCAAGCCGAAGTGCATGAGTTGGATCAGCTCTTCGCTCAGCCGCAAGGCCTCATCATATGATATCGTAAGTTTCAGACTGTTAATGGCTTTGGCGATGCGGATTCGCAGGGGCAGCGACTGCATAAGCAAAACCTGAAAGGTGCTTTGTGTGTATACCCCTATATCTTTGGGAACGGGGTCATCGACCATATTTTCCGTCAGCTGGGAATCGTCCAGGTTAGAGGGCGCCTCGCAATCGTATTCGTCCAGGTCGATCGTGGGCGGCATACCGCCATCCAAGGACGACTGCAAGTCAAGCTCCAAAATGGTTGCCCACAGCCGCCGACGCATCTCGGCCCAGAATTTGGTCATCTTACCAAATCGATGAGGATCACGATGCAGTCCCATGGTCATGGCAGTCCGTATGAGCGAGCCCGAGGAAATCCACACAATGTCCCCGTCAATAGCATCGGCCTGCCGTGCAATCATCAATAGACACTCGATTTGCAAAATGTTGAAATCGATGGTCGAGCTGACCATCGTGAATGCAATCCACGACCGAACACCGGCAATCCATTCAGCGGCTGCCTGATACACCCTGCTCTCCCCATTGATCTTAGTGTTCGGGCTCAAAAAACAGCAACTGGCTGCCATCAATGCCAGAAGCTTCGCCACAAAAGACGGTTCTTTCGGCTGCACTCCCGACCAGAAGTTTTCGTACTGCTCCAGGAAGGTTGGGATATGCAAAATACGGTGTGTCGTCTCAAATGTGGTCAGATACAAGTTGAGTAGTTCGTCAGCAACTTGTCGAGGCGGAATCATCTCCTCAAGCGAGGGAGACTTTTGTTGATAGGCACGCTGGTGCTCCTGTCGCTCTCGAGCCCATATCTCCCCCTTGAAGTTCTTGAACTTCTTGTAATCGGGGATTCTCTTCATCGTACTGCGGCGGCCCCGCATGAATTTGCCAACATCATCAAACTGCGGACATTAGCACCATCCACGAATCAGCCATGGCGCAACACACACTTACAAAAGACAAAGAGACGGACGCATGGCTCCGTCCAACGAATCGCGTGCGGATTTTCTTCCCCCGAAAACAACACCGATCGGGAAGATCTTTCACATTGTCAATGAGATTCTGCGACTCCGGACCCGAACGATGCCCGATGTCTACCGAGTCACCACCCAGACTTTCTGGGGTGTGCATCGACCCAGTTTTGGAGAGAGCGCTTTCCAGGAACTGGATGCGACTGCGCAGTTCGTGCAACTCATCTGACCGTGCTTTGGGCTTGGTGACCCTGTTGGTGGACTGGTGCTTGGAATCGAAGACGTAGAGGCCCCCGTGCGCTGGACTGGCTCGACTGCTGGAGACACGCACGCGTTCTGGCGGGGTGCGGGAAGCGCTCCCCGACCCCGGCGCCTGAGGGCCAACGTAGATGCATTGATCTGGTGTTTTGGACTTCGTGCATTGCCCACATGGCAGAGAGCGGTCGCATTTTAACTTGCGACGCCTGCAAATGGTACAAGATAGGGGTGGTCTGCGCCGTCGCGGCGGAGACTTTGGTGAGTGGTCTTCGTCCATGGCCTTGGTGGATAGAGCGACGTTCTTGTTTGAAGGCGATGATGTGACTGATAGTGGTGGGTTGGACCGACCGTGCCAAGTCACCTGATGCAGTTCTACCGGTGGTGGAGTGTCGTGAAGTTGAAGATGAAGCGGAGGGCAGCGACCGGCAACATCAAAGTCTTATCTGATCTGTGAGCTTACGGCCGAGCCCCACGGGCTTCGCTGCCTAATTTAGTTCAGGAGGAAGGTGTGGTCATTCAGGGAGCGTGACACTTGGTGGGCTTTAGTGGTTAGTGGCAGCCTGGGGGTACTTTTGATTCTTAGTAGTATCTAGTTAGTCGATGGTTTAGTCGGCCTCTTTCAGGAGTCATCCGGGATTACGCATCGGACTTTCTTGATTTGGATGTCCGAGTAATCGGAGTTACGCTTTTGGACTAGCATATATGACATAAGCAAGTTTGTCAATGATCCACAACATCAAAAGGCAATGAACTAGGGGGAACTTTGCTTGTCGAGAAGCCATCCCGGGCAGTGCCTTTATATATGGATTGATACAAGTCAAGTTCTATTTATACTGTATCTAGCATATAGAAGGGCGTCTCTTCTGGTAAAAATAGTGGAGGGAACGGCAAGCATGACAACATCAGATGCCGGCTCTAGCTGAATCTGGTCTAGCTCCATTTCCCATAAGGCTGAACGCGCCCAAGTGCTTGTATCTCACGCTCTTTTCCCACAGATTAATAGTAAATCAATTAGGATCGAAACAAGAGACGAAACTGGATTTCAGGCATTGACTGGCACAGCGTCATCCCCATCACAGGGCATCAAACTTGTCCTCCTGGCTATAGAAGCGTCGATGGATTCCTTGAACAATGGAGCTGCTAATCTAAAACAATCTGGTTCATCTCGGCCTTCGGGCCTAGCTAACCCCGAGCATAATCAATACTCTAAGAATAGTCCTGGGATTTTCTGCACTGGTCTTATCTGGGTGCTGTGCCTAAAAATTAATATTTCACGACGTATCAGACTCGTGCTGGTGTCCTCTCCTATCAAAGTCATCCATTCCGGAGCAAGACCACGTAGATACGCCATATATAATGGGAGAACAGCGATGGGATTTTGAACAGCTTCCATGTGAAAGAATATCCTCCATTTCAGGAGTGGGGACCGACTAGCCTCTTGATGTTAGCTTGGCGATCCGGTTTCAACGTAGCATGTTTCTTACGTGATAGTCTGAGCCCACCTGTCGAACATCTTGTCCACTTCCATGCTCCCTTCCACTCTATTGCCGACAAGTTCCGACCACTTCATTCTTATCACCATATTGACTTGATCTGTTCCTTCCATCCGCAAGACTCTGTCGGCTCCTAAGCAGGACTACAATTTGCTATGTCTTTTACAAAAGACCACTAAAGGAACAGTAACTGAATCAAACCCCTAAACAGGTCTGGCTTCTCCTAGAATCAGAATAGGGCCTAGTGTAGGTATGAAACCCTGTCGGTACTTAGTAGTATACCAGAGTAAGTGTCTAAGCCGCCCATGAAAGAAGCGGATGGTGACGAGGGCATGGGTAGTCAGTCCTACTGATCGTGCCCCCTTCTACCTACCCCCCTGCTTGTTCTTTCATATGCCTCTCATCAACCTCCTCCGAGCTAGCATCAAATAGGATCTTGAAGCAAACTGGTACCAACGAGCACCGCTATCTTCTAGCCATACCCTGAGTCCGTGAGGTACTCTATCGAGCCTAATATCTCCTTTGCGAATGAGATCAGCTGCCCAACTCTGTCCAAGCAGCCACCATGTCGTGCACGATAGTGCAATCCCGAGCGTCTGATAGATGCGCGTTCCATGGGGGCGTTGTTCGCATTTTTACGCCTGGCCTGCTCTCACTTCGTGTTCCGCTCTGTGGGTCAGAACTCAGCTGATCGGTGTAAAACACTTCGTCTCTAACCTTTCTGATATGCTTTCAGCATTTCTGTTATATCGCCTTTGACATTGTCAAGTGGTTCCCATGTTACCTCTCCATTCTTCCAGCGAATCAACATATCGTCTGCTTTGATCAGATGTATACGGTCTACCTCGTATTCTTCCTGGCCGTCTACCATTACTGGCGGCGCGTGAGCAATATCTGGTTAATATTTACCATACTCATCATTGTGCGCTTGCTCTAAGTGGGCTATGCTAACAACGAGATGAGTCGTCCAGTCAGGTGGCAGGTGCAGCTTAATAATATTATAGAGGCCGTAAAGGTAGATTATCATAGGGCTACGAAAATTTAGGCAGTGCAAAATGAGCAAAAAATGCAAGACAGCGAGACAATACCATGTCGCCTGCGCACTGCAGCTTGAAGAATGGTCATTCAAAACAGTCAGCCCTGGCATTCGCGCTAATCCACGGAGTTTCTCGCCAATTGTCACCGGCCGGGAACAGGCGGATTTGAAAGCCGACTTCGTTGGAGAGGGGTATAACTGCCTCGTGCGCAACATTATGAGAGTCCCACTATTTCCGAGGCACAGTTCATCGCTCCCCATCACGATGATCTGGCACACAGTCCAACAAGTTGTCCGATATCCCCGAAAGTGGGAAACCGGAGTGGATATCAGATTCCGATACCGCTGATTAATGCGGGCCCGCGCGGATGATCAGCCGCGCCAAAAGACACCCAATCGCCGCCACTCCAACCATGTTATTTGAATACCTTCAACACCTCTTCACCTCAGCTTAGATTGCGTTGCTTTATTTTCCTTGACTTTTCCGCATGCGGGTGCTATCTCCTGGAGTTTCCGCTCTGAAACTCACCTTTTCCGCAACATGTACACCCTGCCGGTCTTGCTTGCGGCCTTATTTCTACATGTCAAGTTCCCCTTGCTTCCGGGTCTGAGAGACACCCTCTATGGCATCATCGTCCTCAGCGCCTGCTGCGCCATTTTCTACCCGCCCGACACCAGGGACTTTATAAGATATACCAATGCATTTCTCTCTACCTCCTTTGTCATTCGCGCTGTGGAGCTCCTCCTGGTCCATGATCTGAGTCACTTGAAGCGCCTACAAAGAGTGTCTTACCTATCCTCTTCACCCGTATATACCTGGGAACCCATATCTCCCACGCTAGGGTGGAAGCGTTTTGTTCAAATCTGCGATCTAATCATCAACCCGCGCGCTGTGGGTTGGAGCTACGGCTCTCCCAAGTACCAGCCTCCCGTCCGGAAGCTCGAAGCTGTCCCGGACGGCGCAAATGGGTGCGTTCCTAAACGCGAGGACATCGTCCTGGTGGCAGATGACGACCGCTTCTCGTTCTTGAGAGGCAAGGTCGTCCGGGCTCTGGTAGCCTACTTTATCATCGACTCGTATCAGTCAGCTATTGGACGGAACTACCCCAGCGTCAGCAACTTCGTAGAAACATTCCTGACCAATGTGCTGAAAATCCACGCATCCCCTGCCACAACTGAAGGCGTGATCCGGTTGTTCATCCTCCCGCCAGTACACTGGATGGCCTCTTACGCCTTCGTAGACGGAATCCACGCCGCCACCGGCGTAATTTCCGTCGGTGTGCTTCGGATCATCTCTCCACAGCTCGCAGCGGAACCATGGATGTATCCCCCTGTCTTCGGGGCGATCCGATACATGTTTACCTTTAGCCTACGAGGCAAGTCACCTACCCCCCTTACCTTTCCAAGGACAGCAGAATAATAAAGTAACAATCCAGACATTTGGGGCAAAATGTGGCACGACCTCTGCCGTCGCCCATTCCTGGCCCTCTCCCTCTCCCTCATCCCGGACTCATGGCCCCTAGGCCTCAGACGCCTTCTCGTCGTCTGCCTCTCCTTCATGGTATCTGGCGTCGTTCACGCAGCAGGGACCTACGCCGTCTCGAAGGACTGGTTCGCTGCGTCCATGATGATGTTCTTCTTCTGCGTTCTGCCAGCATGTGTGGTCGTGCAGCAGATCATTTCCGATCAGATTCTGCCGCGTGTCCTTCCCGCGAAGAGTAACATCTCTCGAGTCGTTATCTGGCTTGTGGATGCGGCGTTCGTGGCCGCGTGGGGCTATTATACTAGTCCGTGGTTTTTGAATTATAGTAAGCTGCCGGAGGCGATTGAATCCATTCCGATGCCGGTTAGTTTCTGGGGGGTGGTGCTTGGGGCTTAGGTTTGGTTTCGTATTGGTGGTTGTTATATAGTATAGACTATGTCTTCACTACAGGGGGGGAAGGGTGTTATGTTATGTGGGTTGGTGAACGTTTCTTGATTTGTTGTTTCCTTGTTTTGGCATAGCGATATGATACCATCTTATAAATTGGTTTTTTATAGGGTTTGGATAGATTATTGATAGGATTTCGGTTGCTAGCGAGGATCCGAATACGAATACCATAGTGTATGTCCAGCTGGGACTACTGATCCAACAATAACGGGCATTATATAGTGCTATGTTCAGGTCGGCCATCATGGTAAGTAACTGCCACGCTACAAGTCCCCAAAGTATGGCCATATTTGTACAGATTTTGGCATGAATTAATCGTTACTGCTACAGGTACAAATGATTCATCATATCCCCTCACTCAGCAATGATACTAGTGAAACATCCGAAAGCCAAACCTACATGAAGGGATTGTCGCATAGCTGTTAAGGAAGGAAACCACGTAGCAACGCAAGTAATTTATTAAGATTACGTACCACTAAATCAAGACAAATTGACTCCTCCATCTTGCACACGTATATACCTATACTCCTTCCCAAATATGGCAAAACGAGTTTGCCTATGCGGTGTTGTCCACCACAACGCTCCCGTTGTTGGTCTTCTGTTCAGCGACGTATCTATCCCAGGCTGAGCAGTCGACAATCTCGACTGAGAAGTCCGCCTTCTTGATGAGATTGTCCAAGCGTCGGCATGCCTCCATCATTGCTGCTTTACCTTCCGCAGTCTGATCCAACTCATAAGTAGGCTCAATCCCGAGAATCCAATTTTGGTCCTTACAGCGGTATTCCCACTTTTCGGATATCCGGACGTATTTCAGAGATAACCGATCGCTTTTGCTCTTCGATATCAGGCTAGCCAGAAACATATACACAGGGCGGTCACATTCAACTATCCTCAGACTCTCTAGAGAGTTCGGGAGATCTGGGACATCTCGCAAGCCACTTTGCTCCACTTGAAGGACTTTGAGGCTTATGAAGGACGTAAACGAGCCATAGTGACTCCAATCTGGACCTCCAGGATTGGGCGCGCAGTCATTAAAGTTGAGTTCGAGTTTTAGAAGGCTATATTTATGGGCCTCCAAGACCGATAATATATTTGATCTTTTGACCCGGGAAGCATGTCGACACTTTCTGTCTATTACTGCCTCACTGATACAGAAAACCTTCAAACACTTGCATGCACGAACAATTTGGCGCAATAGGGGGGGAGTAAACGTAGATGCTCCTAGGTCTAGCATCGTAATGCTGAGAGACTCGGGTTGGAGGAGGTTAAAAGGTGGACAGCCAGGGTCATGCTCGTCAGCGCCACATATAGAAAGCTCATTCAGTGTGGGTAGGTGCATGAGATGAATTAGATTTCTTAATGATTCGTGGGACATGATTTCCAGAACAATAACAAGTTTCTTCAAGTTGGGGAGATAATCATAGCGGCGTATGCCCTGAGAATCTCGTTCCCAGAGCAGCTCCAATCCACCCAATCCTGTCTCGATATAACTGAGTCCCAATTCTTGCAAGTTGGGCGTCAGGGATATTAGAAGCATGAACAACGGAAGTGGATGGATTCCCGCATTGCCTGTCAGGTGTCGCTGCTTCCAGTCCGCTGGAAAATGGTTATAGGCTCTCATCAGTGTCTCCATTGAGACCTTCCGGGGCCCAAATGGCAGGTTCTGCAGTGAACTAAATCTCGGAAAGAACAATATATCCATATCCAATTTGCGTACAAAGGTGCCCAATTCAGGCCGTTCAACAACAGCCTCTATGAAGCGCATAAGAGTAACCATTTGAACCTTGTACGGAGGTACCCTTCCATCGCTATAGATAAGCCATTGTGGGCCTTGACGGAACAATTCGGGCTGGACAAGGGCACAAACTGTCTTGCAAGTTTGGCAAAGCTTTGCGATGGCCCCAAAATTGTTTGCATAACGCAGTTCAGCTATTATGAGCAGCAAGATCTCTTGGGGGAGATTTGGAAGACTCATTGTGGCCGTCGAAGGATTCAAAGGTGGCGAGAGTTGCTTTGGCCAAATGCTATCGAGCAGGGATGGAATGACGAGTGGAATACAGATGGCTATTGTCAGCTGTCACCAGTAATAGAAGGGTATGTGGACACCAGATCCAGAGCTCCAGATAAGCCTGGGCACTTGACATCCTTTTTATAGACCAGCATCTGTTATGGGTTACGAACTTGGTGAGGTGAGTCTCGGTATTCCCCAACCCTGAAACATTGTCTGGTCTATAGCTATAACTGAAGCATTGGGACATAAAGGCCTACTAGTAATCGCAGAGATCCAAGAACAAAGGCTTCATATTAAGGTAATTCGTTGTACTCTAGCCCAGCAGCGGAAAACAAGGCACAAGCCTGACTATACACCATTGAAGATCATGTTAAGTTTAATGAGTAAGTACTAGTAGTAGAGTCAACAAAGGGTTGCTCAGCCGCGGTCATCTGACTGGGCGTTCCCGCACTGGCAGAAGCCGAGATCTCAAGTTGTGGCTGCCCTTCCATCCTCCACCTCCTTTCACCTTCTCTTTACACTTCAAAGAATTGGCAGGGTATTGAAATAGCTCACTCAGGTCACGCGATTGCCGCCCATAGCACGTCCAGGCCCAGACCCAGCCGGTTAACCCCAAAGTATTTCCGTATAATCCCTCTCTTCACCAATCACCTTCCGAGCAAGCATCACCACCACACTTACGGTCGGCTACCAGCTCTTTCACCACAAAAAATCTTGCTACCTGTCCGTCGCAGAAATGCCACATATCAATCATAATTTAATGGCTTGACCCGAATAACTCGAACAAAGAACGATGTTCTACAACGCCCTCATCCGAACCCACCATATCACCTCCCGCAAAAAGGTGTCTGCGCTGAAACGCGCAGCCGATATACACAATTGCTTCGTGCTTCTACGCTCCGGTGGTTGTCCAGGGATAATGTATGTCGAGGCGAGAGACCAAACCGCTGTTGAGTCTTGGGTGACTGTCGTTCGAAAACTTCGGTACAAGGATTTTCAACTAGCCACGCGACCAGGACCCCTCAACGACGAGAATCAGACAGACCTTCGTGATCAGAAGCAGTCACACCACCAGACAAGAATGAGGGATATACGAGCCGGTGTATCTGAGGTAGAAACCGTCAAGGAGTTTGGGAGTTTAATGGAACAACGAGGTGTCTGGAAATGGTGGAGAAAGGGGATGGGATACGTTGGTTGATTTTGCGATCGCTGCAAGTGCATACGCAATTTATGGGCTGGGCTCTCTTGATGGCTACCCATGTCTGTGATTATCGTCCAGTCCGGCTCTCTGCAAGATCTGAGACCCTGGACTCGCGGTCCTGAAACCAGCATACTAGTCACCACAATTGGAAGCCTCATGCAAAGCAGCTGTTTCCCTCGCGTGCCAGGTCATCCAAATATCGGCAATTTACAGCCACGGAAATGTGTGCAATCTAATGTCGATACTACGTCACCTCATCGAAGCTATATACACGAACTCGATGTCGACGTATGCAGGCCTAGCTCACCCATGCAATGTCGAATTGTTATGCTTAGTCGCCCAGTTACGGTGACCGGGCAATCTATTGACAGGGCCATGTTGACCGATATTGTCTTTCGGTGCAGGAACATCCAATGGCTGCGGCATTGGGGCCAAGTCTCTTGTTTGGTTCCTCGTTATTGAGCAGTCTGGGTCGGCCAATCCTTGCGGACCGGTACAGGTGTCTATAGCTTGCTGCAAGGCGACCTGGTCTGTCCAACCGTACATGAAATCTCCGTGCAAGCCGTATCCGGTTTTATCACCTGTCGCATATATCCAGTTCTTGTAATCTGGATGGGGTGCTGTGTTGAAAAAGAATTCCAGAAAGATGGAATATATCGCAACGGGATGAGACTTGGGACAAACACCCTTGTTATAGTCTCCAGCGTCGGGATACGCCATCTACAAGTACTGTCAGAAAAGCCCCAAGTGCTCGCAGACAACGACACCTACATGACTCTTATGATCTGAGCTGTCCAGGTTCTCTCCATCCCAGCAGGAGGGCATAAAAACCTGCGACCTCAACATTTCACAAGGCTGCTGAGGCAAGCCTTTTGTCTCATTCGAGCTTCCATCTTTGCCAATGCACATATGACTGATGGCACGCTGGGACCAGTTCGAATCATTATAGGTCCTGTTCCCATTCTGATATCAGCACTGTCAGACATCGGTATAGAGAATAGGCGAACAAACCGAAGACTCGGATCCCCAGCAAGCATGCGCAGACCTTTCGGCGGCGCCAGCGGAACCAGCTTCTCATCACAATCCGTAGCACCGGCCGTATAATTACACGCTCGATCAAAGTAATAAATACTCTATCTAACTCATTAGCCAATTCCTCTCGACCCTCAACCGAGCTTTAAGGACTCTCAACGAAGTCCAAAGCAATACTTACACTGGACTGATACTCCACGAGCTCAAACGACCCGTTCCTCATGCGATGATAAAGCTGCGGAACCCAATAATTGCTCCTATCAATATCCACTTCACACGTCGTCCCCTTTGCGTTCTGCGCCGTGCTCTCATTCATTGTTCGCTGGAATGCTGTCCCCCCAGTAACAACATGTGTATGCGTAGATGGCTTCCCTGGCGCGACTATCGGATCGGATAGTTGAGTCGTCAACGGATCGCAGCTGAAAGTAAACTCGTCTGTCGTGCGCTGCTTCGCGAGGACATTGCTACCGCTGCTGAGCAGAAGTAGCGCTGCGATGTAGCAATTCCGCATGATGCTGTTCGTTCTTATCCGCATTCAACAGACAGAGGCACCATTTGCTTCATTCACATAGCAAGCAGCGTAGCAATTGCACTTGCAATCCGCGAAAGCAGTATCTCAGGACACAAGAGTAAAAAGCGATTGAAGAAGCAAGACCAGAAAATTCATATAAAGACAAAAACAAAACCTAGCCAAACTCAATATATTCCGTCCATCATTCCTCACGTCCATTTAACCTCCACCTTCAGCGCCTCCTGGGTGCTTGTTTTCCGCCCCGGGCATCTCTGTAGATTAAACATTCCAAGCACCACCGCAAATATCTCAACCACTGTGAATATCTCCGAGGAATGCTATGTTATGTGGATGCCCGTAGGACACGTGTCCCTTGTGTATTGTATGTACCGTGTAGAGCACTGATGGTGGTGGTTTGGGTGTAGATGCTTTGCAGGGGCTGTGTTTATTCATTTTTTCTTGTGCTCAGGAAGGGTCCTACATATTTCATGCCAATGCCTCGGTCAGATTACCCACCAAGCCCATGCAACTTGACCTGTGAACTATAGACTTGGAACTGTATCATAAACTATTATCTATAGCATCTATGAATAGTAATTCAAGACATCACAGACCCTCCACCAAAACGGTCAATCCATCACCCATATCCTACTAGCACCCTCGGTTGTTTTGCTACTGGGGTGCAATTCTGGATAGAGAGGAGCTGAAGTAGTCGTAGTATCATTTATACATTAGTAGATTTTCCCGCTCTATCTAGCACTAGTGTTACATATACATCATTACTTCATTACCATTTGACTGCATCTCTATATGTGATTTCAAGAAAAGTCATGACTATAACAAACTGCAAAGGAAACTACCTCAACTGAAAAGACGTCGTTGCGCAGAGCTAGTCGAGAAGAGCCAGTGAGAGGACCTTTATTATCTACAAACTCTCTAGGAATGTAACTGGGAGTCGCTTAGGTTATAGTATTCAAGAGCAACGCTATCTCATCAATTAGAACGTGTCATTGCATATGAAATCTCCCTCTGCTTAATTCTGATCGCATAATGCAAATACAGACGTAATCTCGCCCGCCAAACACCGAAGACACCCGGCCTTAAGCGCCGCTAACAACATTAAGCTCCCCATTTGCCCAGTCAGTTCTGGGCCGTGGTTTGTGGCGGCCTGGCCATGCATGCATGTACTACCGAAGTAACATTTGCATAAGCAGCTAGGATCACACCTGATGTCACGCCATTAGCATCCGTCGGACCGGGCACAGAAGTGGATCATTGGTGACCAGGGGCTATCCCAGTGACCAGTGAAATCCCACTTCCAGATGCAGTAATATCAGCCCATTGAACTCCAGTAATGCGCTGGATGAGCGGACTCTTATATCCTGGCTTAGTCGTAGCCTCGCATTGCAGAACCCACCTCATGCCTCGCATAATGGTGCCCATCTCAATTTCTCTCTAACGTAGAATACCCCAGACATATCCCTGATACCCCTGGTTTGGGTTCCTTCAGACGCAGCAGCGGCTGCGTCGAGGACACCCTAAAAAAGGCCCTGAACCGGCTCAGGGTCGTGATTACACGCAGCAACCAAATGGAGCATCAATACCTTCGTAAGCGATGTAATGCAGCTATGCTCTTTAACACACCAGTCCGGTATTGTTACCTAACATGATCGAGCCTGGCTTGGATCGTCTTGTCATCGAAGTGACCTTCTTCGCCGACGTAGTTGTGAAGGGCTTCTGAAAACATCAAGCGACGGGGTGCCTTTCGTCCCGTCATGAGCTCAAACTGGGGTATCGCTTGCTCGACCACATTGTCAAGTCCATCGACTAATACCCAAGGGCGCCCGGTTTCAGTCCGAATACGACGCATCTGGCGCAGCAGTGGTGTGTCCAGTGGCTTGTAAGCGAACTAGCATGAAAAGGTTAGTCAGGGCCCACCTGTGCACTTCATTTAAAGAACTTACCTCAAGGACTACACCGCCAGTGGGGCTTCCCAGCCATTGCATAGGCATTTCAAAGTTGGCTGGCGGTTCATCGCGGTCGCGGTCCGCAGGCACACAAGATGCGATCATGCAAGGCGGACAGGCATCCTCAGGCCATTCATCCTTCAATGACTTGAGCACATACACAACTTCCGTCGAGTCCACTTGTGAGGCTGCCCATGAATTGAAATGGCCAGCGACACTTTCCGCTCGTGACAAAGTTCTGTTGTAGATGAAGATCTTACGGCATCCGAGCCGCAGCATAGCATAGACAGCGGCGCGGGCCATACCGCCCGCTCCTATCACCAGCCCAGTAGTCTTCGATGGGCTGATGGCATTGCGTGGAGAGAGGTTGCGGTTGATGCAGTTCATAATGCCAACCCAGTCCGTATTCTCACCGTACCACCCTAGCACAGGTCCAGCCTGGTTACGCCGACTCGCCTGCTCTTGTAGAGGATACATGGATCCATCAGGGCCGGCGCGCAGTGGTACAATCGTGTTGATGGCACCGATTGCCTCCACATGTCGGCTTTTCGCCGCGAGCTTATGTGATAGTTGTACTCTCCAAGGCTGAACCACACTTGACCCTCCAAAATGCGAATCTCTGCCCAACCGGTCCATGATTGCAAGCGATGGCGAGTCCGGTATGGTATAGGTATGGCTCATGCCACAGTGGCGGAAAGCGGCATTGTGCATTGCAGGGGAAAGACTGTATGCGACATTGCCTCCGAGAATGAAGAACTGGAGCGGGTCCAGCACGTAACTCTGAAACAAGGCCTGAACTGCATCACGAGACGTAATCTGCGGATCTCGCTCGTTGTCGGAGGACCTTTCGATTGCTGGGTGGGTTACAGATGTGAGGATGGAATTGAACACTTGCGAGGTGCGGCCAAGACGGCCAATGTTGTATGCGATAACCGGTGGATGTTCGCCAGGCAAAGCATGAATCTTGTTTGTGAATTTAGCAACCGCTGCATTATCCTCACGCGACGCAGCCACTCGAAGAAAGCGAACGAGCTGACACCCCAGCTTTTCGGCTTCGGAATAGAGGGCAAGGCATTCTTCGCTCTCCCATGTCTCTGGCGCAGAAGGTTCGAATATGCGTTGACCAATAATCTTTGTGTTTCCTCTGGTGCGGATTGCCTCCTCCACTCTAGACCTTTCCTGGCTCAAGTCCACGGCCAAATATTCAACCGCCAGCCGTAAAGCATGTTCCACAATAGCGAAGTATAGATTGTTCACCTTTGTGGCAGACAGATCATCTCTGGCAATTCCTGTGGAGGATTTATCTATTGAGATTATGATGGGCGTGCGAGCATTCCTCCGGAGTAGAGCGACCTGCTTGCTGAGAGTTGCTGTCAATCCCGCGCTCCAGCGGTCAACACACAGCTCAATGGCATCACCTCCTGACTCAAGCTCCTGTAGTTTGACATTGCCTTCTGCCAGGTCGGAAGATCGTACAAAAATGGCAT